AGAAGCTGCAAGCGGCTCTGAAAGATTATCATGACAAATATGATATATACAAATAATGATAATTAATTTTTACATATAATGTATACAATATGTAAATATAAAACATTTTTAGGAATTACGTACTAAATGTATAGTGGATTTTATTTATCTGTTCTGATATATGAAATGAACATGAATTACTTTTTTTGTGTCTTAGTCGTAATACTGAAATGCAGTAACGTACGGTTTATTCAAACACGATGCTAAGCATTTGGCTACAACCGACATTTCCGCTCGTATGTCGCGGACTTTTTTCAAAATAAATTTACCTGTGGCTGATTGATTTAGTGGGCGTTGTTTGCTGCAGCCGAATCCCGTCGCGCCATAAACTGTTGAGACCACCTGCAATGTCCGCCATGGTCTGTCACCATATGAAGTTCTTTTTTGCGTTGTTTTTAATATTCATTTTATATGCTGTATTTCGTATTGGGCATTGGTATGGTACGGTAATTTCTATAGACGTAATATAAAACAGCGAAATTTTTAAAACGGATAGTGAGTGATGAATAAACGTCGATATCATATTAAACAAAGTTGGATTAATCTTCTTTGTTTTACCGATTTCTGTGCCGAACTGATTGTTAAATTAATTAGCTTTGTTGCTTTTGGATAAGAAAAAAGGAAGGTACGTAACCATTGTAATATTGACGTTTCTTACACTCACGATAGGGTCGTTCTGGTGTCCTTCCTTTCATAATGTTATCGAGACTAGAGGGGGCGCTGATCTCTATTTCAATTTAATCAGCCAGGAGGGGCATCTTGTTCTTGCGGCAGAGTCAGCAGCAGCAAGTGTGCAAACGTATGGTGTTTCTTTCTCACATAATGGTAGCTATTTACGGGTCTTGGAAGGAAGAATGGCGCGTGACTCTATCAAGGCCAGAAATCGGAGCCGTTCTGGGTCCGATGCTCTAACGATGGGGCAACCTCGATCTCTTGGGTGCATTTGAATAATTACCTATTAAAATTTGCTTTGTACTGTTAAGCGTACTTGTTTTCTTCTGCTTTTATTTTTATTTATTTAATAAATCACTTTTATTTATTTAGAAACGAAATCATCGCTTTGAAGGGAAAGTTCAGTGACCTTCCTCATCTGCTAAAAGAACGGAATATTCAACCTGGGACCGTTGATGGCATTTTGTTGGATGCCGGCTGTTCATCGATGCAAATGGAAGTCGGTGAACGGGGCTTTTCAGTGCACTTGGATGGTCCTCTG